TTTTTACCCCAAAACCCCAAAACCCCTAATACATGCCTTAATCAACATAATGCAATAGTATAATATTTAGATTTAATATAATGATTCAAAAATATAGAAATTAAATTCTTACAAAAGCCTAAGTCAAAACTTTCATTAAAGATGTTTATAAATAGACTATTAGCATTTGAATGAAATGTCAATGATAATCTTCATTTTAGGTCATTTCTGAAGGAATTGAAAAACTCAAGACAAGGTTTAGGGAACCACATCTCTGTTGAAAACAATCCTTCATAGCTTGAGCAGTGTGATCCAGTCTTTGTAACTCCAAGAAGTATATAAGGACTAGCCTAACAACCTGCATAATCAATATGCTTTCCACCAATTGCAGGATCATCGAGACTTTGCAAAAAGAACATAGGAACTCGAATATGAGGGAATGTGAGATTGACAGATCCACGAATGAGATAATCTTCATTGTCCTTGTAACCATTTAACTTAGCCAAAAGATTGTTAAAGTCTCTAAGTCTAACGCTTTTATCTTTCAACATTTCTTCTAAATCAATACCTGCAGCTTTCCTTACAGGTCCTTTCAGAATCTCAACATTCCTATTGAATAGTCCAAAAAGCTTTTTCTTAAGATATTTATCCATCACACCAAATAGATAGTTCTCCATATTATCTGTAGATATATAGCCTCTGTGAGAGGCTCCTGCAGCAGCTGCTCCATCAAGTGGTACAGTTATTTTATCACTTTCTTATCCTAAATAGAATGCCAACATATAGGCAGAGAATGAAAGTCCCAAGAAAAAAATTTATCTATTCTTTTGTTTCCTCTCATTCACACAGTGTTTATTGTAGAGATATTCTAGTGGCTCCTTAAATTCATTTCCAGTGGTTATACAATACATATTTGGGCTTGTAAGTGGCATATTATTTGATCCTCTGTAACTCAAAACAACTGGGCAATATCCCTACTTTATAGCTTAATCTATACTACCTAGGATGTAGATAGCGTTGTGATCACCACATAATCCTGTTGAAATTACTAAAAGTGGTCTCTAATCACCTTTCGGAGAGATCTCATTTACCCAATCAATCGCAGTTGTACCTCCATCTTTAAATGTAAAGATCTCTCTTTGAAATTTATGCTTATTTCTGAATTTCTTGTTACCTGACAATAAAGTATGCTTAAAAATTTGCAATGTTGCGTTGAACAATAGGAATGGTGACGTATATTTCATTGAGTTGAAATTTTTATTGCTGAAAGCAGGTTTCAAATGCTCTGATTCTTTTTATCCGTATAAAATCATAGGTTGTGTTTATCTTACTTTGATATAAATACACAAAGCAACAAGCAAGATAGCAATAGTTCCCGTAATTGGACACTCTTTAAAAGAGGTGATTATGCAGTTCATGTAATTTTACATAAAATTTTTGCTAATTAAATTTAGGTATGTTACTATTATTATTATTATATGAGATTCAATTACAATAATTATTGTGAGATTTTAATCATGAGGGGTTTTGGGGTTTTGGGG